CTGCCTCTCCAGTGTATGTCTGTCACCCCCCATTTCACCAGAGCGTCCTTGGGAGTTGGGACGTTGGGGGTGGGGCTTGTTAAGGGGTGGCTGTGATGATGGGTTGGGGGACCCTGGCTAGAGGGGCTGTGCTGACTGCAGCAGGTAGGTGGGGTTTCCTCTTCCTTCCCTAACCTTGGTTCTCCACGCCTCCTTCCACCCCTCACCGGTTCCTCTCTTCCTCTTCCCTTACATCTGAAGTAGAAGGCATCTGCAGCTCCTGTTGGGCCCCACTGGGTGGTAATTAAGGGTAAGCTAACTCAGGAAGACTTTGGGAGGGGGCACTGGAAAGAATGCTCTTCAGGATGTCAGGATATTAGGCAGGGTGAGTGGAACAAGAAGAAACAAAAAAAGGAGGCTTGACAGATGTTAGGACACAGACTGGCCCATGTGGCGTGGGAGTTGGAAGTGGGGTGAGCCGTCTTCCTAGATAAGATCATGGGCTCAGTAGCCATGTGGATTCCCAGGCAGAGATGCCAGGAACAGCATGTTAAGTAATCTCTCTATTCTTCTTGTCAGAGCTCACTCCCCCTCTCCCGCCACCCAGTGGCCTTGCTGTATGCACAGTCCTACCTAAAAACCAGTAAATGTGAATCTGTCAGCCACTGACATCATTTCTGAGGTGCTTTCTTTTCTGTGGGACTGATCTGCAGTGGGCAGTGGCTCCTCACATTGTAATTTTAACTCTCTGCCTGCCCAGCCTCTCTGTCAAAGTAGTTAGTGATCTGTAAACAGATGCTGAAAGGCACCAGGGGACCTCACCATTTAAAGGACTCCTGCAGTGAATTCTTTTGTAAAATGAATAATGGTACCCTCATTTATCTACTTTCTAAATTTGGGTCCATGGGGGTGTAGGGGGCATGCCTATGTTCTGTTGCCAGCAGACAAGCAGAGAGGAGGGAATCTGAGGTTCCCTTCCCCTGCTCTCCTGCCATACTCAGGATCCCCTACCATACGTAATTTCCTCTCTCCCGCTGACTTGGGGAAAGTGTACGAGATGCTCAGCAAGCTAAGGGGGAGGCTTTGCTTAAGGCTGGGGTTTTGGTGACCTTCTGAGAGGTGAGTTCTTTGATTTGGAAGGGAGAGCTGATCTGGGAGCCTCTACTTGGAATGTTTTTGTATCCCACAGAGATATGGTTACACATAACAGGCCTAAATGCCCCGTGGCCCAGGAAATAACTTGGACACTTTTTAAATCACTTTTAGGTATGGGTCCCTCTGCAGTGCATTCATTGGCTTAAAAATTAATTTTGTGCCTGTATTTTAAAAAGCCAAGTGAGCGACCAGAAGTGTAGTAGAGGTGGCTTCCTTCTCTCCCAGCAGAGGAACAGAAGCCAGAGCTGAGGGCAGGAGGCAGGAGCTAGCTGGTCCAGGGGTGGGAGTAGGGTCTGGTACCCCTCTCCCTCTAACCGCGATCCCAGGGAGAGGGATTGAAAGGAACATGGGGGTGGAAAGGAATGAAGCAGTTCTGCTTCCTGGGGACACAGAGATGGAGGCATGCTGTGCCTCTGCAGACACTCCTAGTCATTTCTGCCCTTAGCACGAGACAGGCAGCCCTCCCCCAGTGTTTTTACCATCACCCATCACTTCCCTGAATCCATCGCCCCCCACCGCCCAGTACAGTTAAACCTAATTTGGAAAGTTATATTCGAGAAGATGACCACTCTGAACAAGTGACAAAACTGAACAGCAGTGTCTATTTAATGAAATGCATGTCTTCAAAATACGTACAGTAAGTAGGACTCGATGAACAAGGCTTTTCCACTGGAGGCCCTCAGGGAGCATGCATTAATGAATAGATAGGATTCAAAAGTCTGTTGGCTGGTACCCTCCTACAGACACGTTTCCACTATTAATTTGCTTAGTACACCCTTTTTTCAGAGCTAAAGGAAAACGCAAGCCCAGTTTTTGTTCAAATTATGAAAAAAGTCCAAATCCATGGGGGTTTGGATTAATGAGGTTTTGCTGTACTGCCTCCCCTTGTTCCCTCAACACAAAGTTCCTACCTCAGATTGGGGGTGGGCTGGGAGGGGGTTCCACGAGGAGGAGGGAGGCTGGGTAGGGGAAGATACAGGGGGTTAGGCCGGGGGTAAGATAGGAACTTGTTTCTTTTGAACTGGTTTCCTGGTATGACTCCCTGGGTTGAAGGCCCATTAGGAGTCAGGGGGTGAGATTCTCTTCTCCCTGATCCCAGAAGATGTAACTTCTACTGCAGGTGAGAAAAAAATAGGAGGATGGGGGTGGGGGGTTGTCCTGGGGGCAGGGAGGGGGACATGGTTTATGGAGTGGGCTGGTTATGGCGGGGGGCCCATGGCTAAGGGGGCTGGCACCCAGGCCCCCGCGAAGCGTCTCAATAAGTCCGCGCTCTCCTCTTTGGTGTCTTGCAGGAGAGGCAGCTTCCCCCCTTGGGTCCAACAAACCCGCGTGTGACGCTGGCCCCACCTTGGAACGGCCTGGCCCCCCCAGCACCGCCCCCCCCACCCCGGCTGCAGATCACCGAGAACGGCGAGTTCCGAAACACCGCAGACCACTAGCCCACCCAGCATCACAGACCTTCTCCCTCCCCATGCACCCCACCCTGGAATAGCACCCACCACCAGGACTGGATGTCGCCGAGGGACAGTGGGATTGCCTCCCTGAATGCCTCCTTGGGGGGCACCAATCCCCCACCCCCACTGCACCATTTCCAGGGGGGAAGAGTGCGGACCCTTAGCTGTCCCCTTTTCCTTCCTGTTGGGGTGCCGCCCCCTGTGACCCCCAGGGACCCTTGCCCCAGGACACCACCTACCCCACACAGACCCCTTCACTCTGGGGTGCTATCCCCATCCTCTGCCTCATCGTTCCCCTGAGCACTGGGGGACAGACCCTCACCCCCACCCTGGGGGTGTGGCACCTCCAAACTTTCAACTTCAGGGTGATTTTTTAGCAGTAACCAGAGCTGACAATCTAACTCCCCTCCACCGCCCCATTTTGGCCTCCCCTGTCCCCTTTGTTATGGGGAGGGGACCCCGGGTGAGGGGGCCCTATTACCCCTTGATTTCTCAGGAGCGTCTGGGGGGGCTCAGCACGCACAAACTCCTTCTCCTACTACTCTTAAATTTACTCCCTCCCCACCCAGAACCCAGATGGGGTGGAGGGGCCACCGGGGCAGGGAGGGGGCGGCAAGGGGGGAACGGGAGTTGTCTCCCCTTCCTCCCACACCTGATCTGCTCTTGGCTGGTCCCAGAGCGGGGTGAGGGGGCTTATGCCCCCCCCTCCCCCAGTGTGTTGGGTGGGGTGGAATTGAAGTTAGGGTGAGGGGTTAGGGTCTAGGAGGATGTGTGTGTTAGGGAGGATAGACTAGTTGATCTGCCCTACCCTGATACACACAGCCCCCCTCGCTCCTCCCCTCTCTCTTCTAGGTCTCTACTTCCAGGGGGAGGGGGGAACTTACTCTAGGAAAAGCCATGTCTCCCTCCCCCAGGGTGGGGGGACCTGTGTTGGAGGAGGGGTGTTGGGGGCCCCCTTCCATGACTCTGTCCCCCCGGGGGAGGTAGGACAGGGCTGGGCTTCCCTCTCATCCTCCCCCCTCCCCAATCTCCCTCCACCTCCCTCCCTCCCGCCAGCTCCACAATTTTTCGGTGTTTCTCTGTACATAGCTCTCTGGCGGGATAGGGGAGGTAGGATGGATGGGGTTTAGGGTGGGTAGGTCATGGGAGGGGAGAAGCCCCTCCGTGGCACCCCCTCTTTCCTGACTGCTGTCCCCTACCCAGCCTTGCCCCCTCATCCCTTCTTGCGTTTGGTATTGAGACTCTTTCCAGACTTCACCCTTCTTTCTTTTGTATGGACAGTTCCTCTTCAGTCCCATCCCCCTACACACATACACCCAGCCGGGGCCAAATTTATACTTATATAAAAGTTGTAAATATGTGAAATTTTATCCCTGTGCCCTTTCCTTGCTTTCCCAACTTCAGACCCTACCCCTGGACCCCCTTTCCTCCTCTCTTTGGCTGTTGTAATTATCTGGGGTTTGTACTGTACATATCGGGGGTGTGTGTGTGTGGGCTGGGGGCAACCCCTCTGTACAGAGCTTCCTGGCCCCCTCCCCCCCCACCCTTCCCTCCCCCTCCACCACCCTAAGGGTAGGGAGATGCTCTTCCTACCTGTTTTATTTTGTTTTCTCGTTATCCCTCCCTACCCTATCCCACCCCACTCCCCGCCTTCTCTGTCCTCCACCACTATCCCTTTTTCTCCACTCCCAGCCCCATTTCCTTTTTTTCTGGAGTGTGTGGTGAAACAGAAAAATCATGTTTAATAAACGGAGATTGTTCTTTTATCGCTGTGCTGACTTTCCTAAGTTGGGACCTCCAGACGGACGAGCAGGGTCCTGCTTTTTGACAGGAAGCTGACAGCCTGGGAGAAACTATATCCCTGCATGATCCCAAAGTCTCCTCCAGAGTATCATTCTCCCACCCAGCGACGAGATTTATTCTGGTTTTGAGCAGGGGTTGTACACTGGCCAAGCTTACCCAATCTCGCTGTCCCCTCACCACTGCTCCCCTTAGTCCTAATGAGTAAAGAGGCCAGGGAACAGGAACATTATCTGATAAAAAATTCCAAGTATAATATCTGCAGACACACATATACATATATATTTAGTAATTGCCTAGAAATAAGGTTTATTTAATTGCTGGTTAAAATGCTCCCGTAGGGAATGGAGGAAAGAACTCGGTTCCTCAGCAAATCTTGAGTTCTAATCCCAGGCCCATCACTTGCCAGCCTCGGTTTCCCCCAGGAAACAGCACACCAACACCTACCTTGCAGGGCTGGGGGAGGAAACAAGGTGATGCGGACAATGGCTGGCCCACACAATAGGTGCCCACTTAATCTCGCCTTCTCAGCACCTAGCAGGGGGCGGGCGCTATATTTAATCACCCTCAGGGTTTACGGGTCGCCCCCTCCTTCCGGGCTGTGGTCTCTCGAGCCCTGGCTAGCCGTCCTCCCACAGGAGCCGCCACCCCGTCCGCGGCCGCGCGGGGGTCAGAGACCTCCTGCCAGCACCGCCTTCTCGCCCGCGCAACCAATCAACACGAGGCTTGTAGGCCACCGCCTTCCGATTGGCTGCGGCTCTGGCACCGCCCACCGTACCTGACGTTGGCGTCCGGCGGGAAGGCGGCGGCTTCCGGCCCGGGACTGAGCGGTGTCCGCGGACGCGCTCCGACCCCTTGCCGCCTGTGTACCGGCGGGGGCGTGGCGGCGGGAAGGGCATCCCTGCTGGTGCCCACGGTCTCCCGGCGGCCGCGGCTTCCCTGGAGTCGGGCCCTCTGGGCACCGTGAGAAGGAGTGGAGCGGCGCGCGGGAGCCGTCCGGGGCCGGCGAGGTCAGGCGCGTGGCTGAAAGGACCTCCTCAGCTTCCTCCACAGGCCCTGGAAGTGAAACCCCGGTTGGTCTTTTGTTGTGGTCGTTTAGTTTTTCTTTTCTTGGTGGGGGAGTGCGCGGGACTGATCTGCGGAAACCACCACTGACTGAGAAGTTTCCACAGGTTCGGTTGGGGAGGCGGGTGTTGTGTGAGGAGACGTGGTTGCCCTTATCCAGAGCTTCTGTGACCCCCGTCTCTTTCCTCCACAGCCTTCATCCCGCTGGGGGTCCGCCCCCAGCCCCTCATCTCCTGTATTTGATCCTCTGGGATCTCTCTCTTTCTGAGGCGGCCATATGGATACCTCGACGCCCATGCCCCCCGTTCCCCCCTCCCCGACCTGCAACCCTGCCCCACGGACAATCCAGATCGAGTTCCCGCAGCATAGCTCAGTGCTGCTGGAAGCCCTGAACCGCCACAGGCTAGAGGGAAAGTTCTGTGATGTGTCCCTCTTGGTGCAGGGCCGGGAACTTAGGGCGCACAAAGCAGTGTTGGCTGCTGCCTCTCCTTACTTCCATGACAAACTTCTTCTGGGGGATGCGCCACGTCTCACTCTGCCCAGCGTCATTGAAGCTGATGCCTTCGAGGGGCTGCTCCAGCTCATTTATTCAGGGCGCCTCCGTCTGCCACTGGATGCTCTCCCTGCCCACCTCCTTGTGGCCAGTGGCCTCCAGATGTGGCAAGTAGTAGATCAGTGCTCAGAGATTCTTAGAGAACTAGAAACCTCAGGGGGTGGAATTTCAACCCGTGGGGCGACCTCTTACCACACACTTCTTTCCACCACATCCTCTCCAGGAGGCTGGTGCATTCGCTCTTCCCCTTTCCAGACCCCAGTGCAGTCTTCCACCTCTACCGAGAGCCCCGTTTTAGGGGAGGGGAGTGAACTGGGAGATGTGTTACAGATTCAAGTTGAAGAAGAGGAGGAGGAGGAGGAGGAAGAAGAAGAAGAAGATGAGGAGGAGGACCAGGGGTCAGCAGCACCCTCTCAGACACCTCAGCCTCAGAGAGTATCAGGGGCTTTTCCCTGTCCTCATGGATCACACCCACTGCCTATATCCACTACTCCCCGCAGGGTTTCAGAGGGCGAGAGTGCACCACTTGAGCCACCTACCCCTCATACTGCACTGCCCCCCAAAGTCTTCTACATTAAGCAGGAACCCTCTGAGCCTAAAGAAGAGATATCAGGAGGTGGAACTCAGTCTGGAGGAACAAAGGAGGAGACCAAAGTGTTTCCTGGAGGGGACACTGAAGGGAATGGAGAGCTAGGGTTCTCACTGCCCTCAGGAGCAGGGGCAGCATATGGAGGAGGAGGTCCATCCTGGAAACCAGTGGATCTTCATGGGAATGAAATCCTGTCAGGGGGTGGGGGACCTGGGGGGGCAGGACAGGCTGTGCATGGGCCTGTCAAGTTAGGAGGTACACCCCCTGCCGATGGGAAACGCTTTGGTTGCTTGTGTGGGAAGCGGTTTGCAGTAAAGCCAAAGCGTGATCGGCACATCATGCTGACCTTCAGCCTTCGGCCCTTTGGCTGTGGCATCTGCAATAAGCGCTTCAAGCTGAAGCACCATCTGACAGAACATATGAAGACCCATGCTGGAGCCCTGCATGCCTGCCCCCATTGTGGCCGTCGGTTCCGAGTCCATGCCTGTTTCCTTCGCCATCGGGACCTATGTAAGGGCCAGGGTTGGGCCACCGCTCACTGGACTTACAACTGACTGCTGAGGCCGTACACTAATTTCTAGGATAAGAGAGCCACTGCTGCTGATGGATACTTTGCCCTCACAACCATCACACCCCTCTTCTGGATCTTGTAATCATGCCAAGAAGATCTATATATTCTGGATATCTTGTTCTTAAGTGTGGGCATCAACCTGGCAGATTTGGGAACTCAGATATCTCCTCTCCAGGTTTTTGCAAACCACCCCATAGGAAGGTGGTTTACAAGGCATACATAAATTGATCACTTGCCCATAATAGACCTTTCATAAAGGAAGCCAGATTTCAGATTAGAAGTTTTGTTTGGTGAGAAGAGTTACAGCAAAAAGATGTAAAAATGTTTCATTTGGTCTCCATGAGGTGTTAAAGGAGCTGGTCTCCATGTAGGGATGTTTGATTCCAAGGTCTAATAATTCAGAAACTAATAATGTTCTCGTCTCCCTTGTCATTGCTGAAATGATTTAGGCAGAGTTCTTTTTAAGTACTCTTAAAAAGAAAGAGTACTTTCTTTTGTTCGGTCTTTCCAGAAGCCTCTCAGAAGCCTCTTGCTCTGCACCTTCCCAACACTTCTGTTTTTAATTTTGTAGTTAAGCACTTTAACAAATTGAGCATTCCATGTGTCATTCTTAGAATCCTCTTTTTAATAGAGGATATTCCCTCAACAGCCTGTGCCTCTTGTTTATCTTTGTCTACCACTGATCACCCATATACTGATCACAGTGATTGGAATGTGACCAGTGAACTCAGGAGATGGCCACTGACCTAAAATGCTCTCAGGGTAGCACCACTGTTGAACAAGTGGCTGTTGTCAGAGGCTGAGACAGCACATAACAGAAGGCTGAAGAGTATCTGCACAGTAGGACCACACCCCCTTCCTTTCCTTCCCGCTCACATGATAGGCCCTTTGTTGAGAGAGAAAAAAGTAGATACTGGAATGGGGAGATTGTGACAGTTTACTTAATTTCTTCAAATAAACTTTGCTCTGAAACCTAAGCTGACAATGGACTGGATTGAGTAATTTACGTGGGAGAGACAGCATAAAAACAGTTGCAAAGACTTGGATGTGTTCCTTATGTGGCAGGGTTATGTTGATGGGGGAAGAATGGGATGGTTTCACACCGGTGCAGAGAACACTGTCCTGGATGTCAGTGGGCCAGATTCTAGGCCCTGACCTGCCACTAAATGATCTCAGATAAGTTATCTTTCAGAGTATGAACTGGGGGTTTTTGTGGGGTGGTATGTATCTCCTCATTGGTTCTCTTGTCTTTTTATTTTTAAAGGAGTTGGTTCACATGACCTTTACCTATAATGTTGTCTGACTTTATGTATAATACATGTTTCGTTGTGGTTTGGTTTGTTCTACAAACATTTAGTGCAGAGCACTATGCTAGACCCTTATACTCTGACCTCAAAAAGTTCACAGCTACTATCAAAGTTAGACAAATAATGACAATGTGGTATGATAAGTCTGTCTTAGTGGGCAGTACAGGCTACTGTAGTGTCATAAAGGAAGCCAGGAGAAGGTCTTAAATGTTAGCAAAGCTTTCATAAAGATCTCGGTGTACCAGAGTACAGCAACAATGTTGGTGGCCTAGTTGAAGTTATAACTAGAGCCAGGATTGATAGCTTTCCCCAAAGCATGTTCCTTAAAAATATTATGGCACCCAGAAGAGGCTGAAAATGTGACTTTATGGCTGAGAAGGTGGATTCTCGCTGTGATCTGTCAGCCTTTCTAAAGAGCCATGCCATGGTACCATCCCCATGGTAAGGACTGTGAACACATTGGGAAAGGGGTCAGGGAGAGAGCTACCAAATCACACCCACCTGCCATTCTTTTGGCACACGTTCCACAGGTGGCTACGGACATACCTCAGAGTTATTATAGGTTAAGTTCCAGACCACTGCAACAGAGCAAGTCAAATGAATTTTTTAGCTTCTCAGTGCATATAAAAGTTATGTTTTTACAGTAGCCTATTAAGTGTGCAGTAGCATTATGTCTAAAGAAAATGTATATACCACAGGGCACCTGGGTGGTTCAGTTGGTTAAGCATCTGACTCTTGATCTCAGCTCACGGCTTGATCTCATCTCAGGTCTTGATCTCAGGGTCATGAGTTCAAGCCCTGCGTTGGGCTCCACAGGCATGGAGCCTACTTAAAGAAAAAAAAGTACCTACCTTAAAAAAATACTTTTTTGCTAAAAAATACTAACGATCATCTGAGCTTTCAACAAGTAGTAATCACAGATCACCATAACAAATATATTAATAATGAAAAAGTTTGAAATATTTCAAGATTTACCAAATGTGATGCAGAGACACAAAGCAAATACTGTTGGAGAAATGGTGCCAATAGACTTGCTCCAAACCTTCAATTGCAAACCTCCAAAGACTTTCTGTAAACCTTTAGTTTGTAAAAAAAACAAACCAACAAATAAAAACCCTGTAATATCTGCAAAGTGCATTAAAGGGAAGCACGATAAAATGACGTGTGCCTATCTATCCTTTGAGCAGGATCCTTTGGTTGCAAGCAAGGGAAGCTGGCTCTGACTAACATGATCAAAACGAATCTATGGAAGTATGTGGGGTGGCTCCTGGAATGGAAGGAAGGGGTGAAGGGCCAGCCTTTGGAAGGTTAAGACCTGGGTAAGGATAAGCTCTGGGGGTTCAGGGAACAGGAACTCCTGGGGAATCTTTTCCGGTCATATGTTTTGTGATGATGATCCAGTCATTCTTATTTCTTGTGTTACTTATCTCAAGATAAAATTTCCCAGGAGAGGGGGCACCTGGGTAGCTCGGTCAATTGAGAGTCCGACTCTTGGTTTCAGCTCAGGTCATGATCTCAGGGTCATGAGATCAAGTCCCACATGGGGCTCAGCATGGAGTCTGCTTGAGATTATCTCCCTCTCTGTCCCAGGTCTACCCTCTGGCCAGAGCACCCTAATTATTATTCCATCAAGGGAACAAAGTGGGCATGTAATCCCAAAGGGGAAATTGAATTCCTGAAATAGAAGAGTGGGGAATGGTGCTAGCCATCCCACAGGAACAGAGAGGCCCACCCAATCTCCACATGTTGTCCATCTTAGGATCCTTAAAGCCTCAGATATACCTGGCACTTAATAGGTGCTCAAGAAATGGTGAACCTGCCCAACCTCCACCTCTGCCCTCTGAACTTAAGGCAGAATTGCTTCTTCCCTCTCCTTAATCCCCATAGCACTTTGTTATTTCTACTGTATGCCAATTAAAATACCATGTTAGAGTTTTGGTTTTGTTTTAAAGTTATTAGGAATTACACAGAAAACAAATTCCATTATGAAAGATCTGGATTTACACCTGGTGCCCCCCTCAGTCGTGGAGCAGCCTTCTGCAGTCTCCTCTGCAAATGGGCTCCGTGACCTAGGATTCCATACACCTAGGCCTGTGAGGGGTCGTGCAGAGGTTCCCACAAGCCCAAAAACAACAGTATGGCAGCCATCCCCTCCAGTGGCTTGCTTATGGCCACCGACACTATTACCCACACCACCCGCGTTCCACTTCCAGTAACAGCTTCTGTGGAAGTGCAGAGTATCCTGGGGAAGCCATCCCTCATCACCCCAGTCTCCACAGGGCCAACCCACTCACTGGTGGGCAAACTTTTTTGGGAAGTCCATTTTCCCATTCCTGGCTACAGTGTTGGAGTCCCCAGATTGCTTGGAATCTCCCAGGCCTCCAGCAGCACGATCACCTATGACTTGGCTCTGGAAGCAGCCTGGTGGCCAGCCTGTCAAAGCCAACACCCGGCCCCAGTCTTGAGTGGCCATCACCAGCTACCAGGCTTCAGGAGGTGCTAGGCTCATCAGAGCACCGCCCCCCCTCCCCCCATAGACTAGGCAGAGCACAGCAAGCAGAAGCAGTTGGGTTCTTTTATAACAAAACAGCAAAACACCAAAAAGGAAGTTGAGAGAACCCCACTCTTTATTATCCAAGCCACACACAAGCCTTCCTGACACCTGTAACCATATGCCTTGCATGAAGTGGAAAATAAACTCCAAGCAGCCAGTTAAAAAAAAAAAGGAGGGGGGAGGGGCGCCTGGGTGGCTCAATCGTTAAGCGTCTGCCTTCGGCTCAGGTCATGATCCCAGGGTCCTGGGATCAAGCCCCGCATTGGGCTCCCTGCTCAGCGGGAAGCCTGCTTCTCCCTTTCCCACTTCCCCTGCTTGTGTTCCCTCTCTCGTTGTGTCCCTCTCTGCCAAATAAATAAAAATCTTAAAAAAAAAAAAAAAAAAAAAGAATGTGAGCAGCTTTAAAAAAAAAAAAAGATTTAGGGGCATCTGGGTGGCTCAGTCATTAAGCGTCTGCCTTCGGCTCAGGTCATGATCCCAGGGTCTTGGGATCGAGCCCCGCATCGGGCTCCCTGCTCTGCGGGAAGCCTGCTTCTCCCTCTCCCACTCCCGCTGCTTGTGTTCCCTCTCTCACTGTCTCTCTCTCTGTCAAATAAATAAATAAAATATTTTTTTAAAAAAAGATTTAAATTTAAAAATGTACCTTTCTGCCTTTGTCCTTTCCTCCTTGTAGTGGAAGAGATGTCACTCCTTCTGACCAAGGCTAGCCCCCTTCCCAGAGCCCTTGCTCTTTTAATTATCCCCTCTGTCCAGCATCTTCACTCTTGTCTGGAGTTCCTCATTCGCACTTAATCATGCTCACAGGTCTGTAAGAATTAATACATGTAAAATGCTTACACCAGTGCCTTGCCCTCAGTAAACTCAATAAATGTTAGCTGTTATTATGAGTGAGACCATTAGTTCCCCACACCTTTACTGGGATCAGTTTTCTCGGGGAGGGTCACATATATAAAGGAAAAAATATTTTCAACTAAAGGGGAAATGAGGCATACTCATTGTTATTATCTTTCTCATAAATGCTAGAGTTCTTCAGGGGTCTTTTCACCCTCTTTTTTTTTTTTTTTTAAGATTTTATTTGTCAGAGGGAGAGAGAGAGTGTGAGAACAAGCAGGGAGAGCAGCAGGCAGAGGGAGAAGCAGGCTCCCTGCTGAGCAAGGAACCCAATGCAGGACACGATCCCAGGACTCTGGGATCATGACCTGAGCCGAAGGCAGACGCTTAATGACTGAGCCACCCAGGCTCCCCTTTTTACCCTCTTCTAAATTTATACACTCCTGGGTGATTTTTATCCACTCTGAGTTAAACCATTTAAATACTGATGACCCTTAATTTTATATCTCCAGTTTTCCTGATCCCCAGACCCACTTAGATTTCCTCCTTCTTTCCTTCCTTCAACAATAGGGCCTACTGGGGCGCCTTGGTGGCTCAGTTGCTTAAGGGTCTGACTCTCGATCTCAGCTCAGGTCTTGATCTCAGGGTCATGAGTTCAAACCCCACATTGGGCTCCACGCTGGGCGTGGAACTACTTAAAAACAACAACAACAAAAACCCAATAGGGCCTGCTCTGTATCCGGCACTGATGAGAAGAGCAGGATTGTCACTTTAAGAGACGGATGTATAAACCAGCTATTTAGGTACTTCATAGACATCTCAAGCTCAATATGTCTAAAATACTGCACCCCATCTCTAGCCAACTGCTCCATTGTTTCCAGATTTAGTAAAACTTCCACCATCTACCCAAATACCCAAGACTGGAAGCTGGGAGTGTTCCTGGGCACGAATCTCACCTCCCATACCTGTCCTACCAATGCTGTCTCCTAAATATTTCAAATTGATGCATTCTTTCATTCCCAGTACTGCTACTGCAACCTCCTAACTGGTTGTCTTCTGTCTTGCTTCCCTCTATGTCTCACTCCACACACTGTGGCCAGAGTGATCTTTCTAAAGCATAAAGTACTGATTCACTAGCTCTCCAGCTTAAACCTTTCATTTGCTCCCTCCTGCTCTTTGATGAAGTCCAATGATCTGCTCCCAATTACTGCACTCTTGCTGCTCATGTCTCCCTTGGGGCTCTGCTTTTTTTTTTTTGCTCCTCATGCTCATCTCTCTGC